CATCAGGTATTCTCTTTGACATGAAGAGAACAAAAACCATCCCACAATGTGTGTGTGTGTGTGTGTGTGTGTGTGTGTGTGTGTGTGTGTGTGTGTGTGATTCTGTACAGTACACACTCTAGCCTGCTGCTGTGGATGATCGTGTGAGCTGTAGGCTACCAGGCCACCTGGGAAAATGTGTGTCATTGAGCACAGTAAAACAATAGTGTTAATAATAACAACCAACTGATACTTAATGCTTGTGCACTGTGATAAGATTTACTCAAAGGCCAGCAAATGGATAATCCATTGTTTATTTGCATGATCTGACTGGTAGTGGAAGCAATATCCTCACCCTTAAATGTGACAATGACGCCATAGAAATTAAACGCGATAAGTCAACAAATGAAAGCAGCACATAAATTGTAACGTGTTATTGGATCAAATGCTTGATAATGAATCCATACTGTAATGCTTCAGTGATATTTTTGCTTCAGTCTTTCATGAACGCGCATTCCTGCACAGAAAGGCGAACACGCGCGCTCCATGAAACAAAGACGTGGACGAGGCTCTTTTGAAGCAGTCAAGGTGGAGGAGAAGCAGCGGGGAGGAGGGGATGGAGGCCCAGAGCATCACTTACTGGACCGAGAACCATCTAGGATTACTCTCCTCATCTCTAGAAGGGATGACGTAATTCTGGACTACAAAAGTGGGAGTGGTCTGGGCGTGATTGACTGATTAAAGGCACAATCGGCCACTGAACTTTGAGTACTGAATAGGAAGTTAACTTTAAAGATGAATGTAAATCAGTATGTTTTTAAATATCACGTTAATATAAATGTTTTAGATATGTTTTGGCGAAAAACCGAATAATTTTAATATTGCATCATATATAAAACTTGATAAATGTAACAATTTATAAGGTTTTCTGAAGCAACTGACATTAAACTTGTTGCTTTTTTAAAAATATATACCTGCACCTGTTGTGCCACAAATTCCATTTCCTGGAACAATATGTTAGCCTTCCATTAACAGTGAAATCCTTTCTGAAGTAAACATGTTAAGGACTTCAGTGTTTCTCCCTCTTCCTTCTCCTCCTGTGTCCTTTAATTTCTTTGCACACCACTGACATGTCAGGACGTGTCCCAGCCGTGCAGCAATCTTTAGTTCCAGCCTCCTCTGCGCTCAGAGATACAGCCGTCCGATATAACTGTAGTGTCACTTTAAAAGGCGATCCCATGCGCAGGATCCAGAGGGCTGGTCT